CTCGCTATTACATTTCTACAAAGAGTCTTTTTTTCTGTTAAGCAGTGCCAACCCCATTTAGTTAAAAACGCTGTATATGTAGCCTACAAACTTCCCAACCTCACTCCTCCCATATATGTAGGCAAAGCAGTCACATACCAACAAATAGAAATCGGTCCTCCCTCCTCCCTTCCTCCTTTTCGGGAAAAAAAAGTTCGAATAACTTTTGCAGCTTTTTGATAATTTGTCTAGAACATTTAAAGATTGGATACGAAGTAGAGGGGATGCTTGTGAGGACTGATCTGGTCAAAGTTAATCGTCCACCTCTAGAGAGGAGAGTGGACTTCTAGGTAGACAACTTCCTAGCTACTTTCTCCACCACGGGCTCCCAAAAACTCAGCTTGTTATGTCTTCCTCCCCAGAGTCACCCCAGATAGGATAAGGGCCAAGAAATAGTCTCACAGCCCCACAAAGTCGCCGTAGTCAACAGATCTTTTACTTCCACATTCAGCCCAGCCACTACTAATTTTACCAAGTTTATGTCTGTTAATATTTAATCCTTATCTCAAAACAACACACCATCTCCTTTAGGTTATAAAGCACCTCCTCTTTTTATCAGCTGAAAATATCAATGTATCATCTGAAAATTGGTGGTGACTAACTTGAAACCCATTGTCTCCCAATTTTAATCCTTACAGGCAGCCTTCTCTAATTCGTTTTTCCATCATTCTACTCATCATGCCAGCCACTAAGACAAAAAATGGAGCCAATGGGTCCCCTTGTCTCAAACCCCTTTGAGCTTTAAACTTCCTCTCGGTCTTCCATTGATATATTCTTTATAATTTGTGAAGTTTCTTGTTTAAAGGTTCTTTTAATTATCCTCCTCCTTTTTTCAAACAAACAAGACAGTTTGAGAGTATTTTGTAATCTGTTTTGGCTCAGAGTATGGGAGAGTTTCTCATCTTACCATACATTACTGGAATTTACGTTCTACTATATTTCTTAACATGTGCAAATTAAAGTTTCAATTCCAATTTACAAAATCAAATAAAAATATGAAACTAAAAGAGTAATTATAAGATTTGATTTACTTGTAACCTTCAATCAAACAACCTACTCTTTAATGTCAATTTAGGCTAAAAGACAACCCTAGAGACCAACTAATTGCTTCGTTCACCCTGTTGATTTGACGGATGACAGTTAAACTTTCAATCCCTCTGTTAATCCTAGAAGCGAGTAAGAACATCAGGTCTGCCAGCTGATTTTTGGTATTAAAAAAATTCAATTCGTTACTGAATATGAGGAACCGACCTGACAAATTAGCACTAAGTGCGCAGATTTAAGCCCTACAATCTGTTAAATCACTTAATTCGAATAAATCCAAAGAGAAACAGAATAAATAAAATAAATAGGTCGGATGGATAAATTACCAGGACAGTGATGAGCGTCGAAAACTGTGACAGTGAAAGCACCATCAGGATCTTTGACTACCAGCGATTGCCCGATCTCGATACAGACAAACAACGAATCCTCAATCTACGAAAAGAGAACAAAGAATCAACAACTCCAAGTCAAGTTAAGCCTCCGAATCAAACGGGGGAACAGAAAAGAATAGAAACCAAACCTGAGGGAAGTGCTGAAGAACGATGATTTTGGTGAGAGAAGTAGAATAAATTGGGAAGGAAGAATGGGGGACAATCCCGGCGGTGTGATCCCTGTGAGCGTGCGTTAGAAAATGGTGGTGCTTCTGCTTGGAAGATGGAGTCCATGTATCCACCGAGAATGGCAGGCCTTGGGGCATTTCGATCGGCATCTCTGGATTCTGTGGGGGAATTTCGATGGCAGAGGAAGACGAAAGCGAAAGAATTGAATTTGAGCCCTAATCAGAAAATTCATGGTTCTCTCTCGAGGCTTCCACAGCAAGCAAAAATTTCGAAGTGGCGGGATGATTGAAGAGCAGTTTATTTATAATTTACCGCGTTTACCGTGTTTCAATTTCAAAAAGAATGACGAAGAATCGGTTGTTTTATTTGGGATAAATAAACTTTTTCTTTCCTACAATATTATTCTTAATTTTTAAAATAATACTTAAATTGTCCTAGTTAAATTATTTTTTCTCCCAAAAAAAAAGAAGAAAACAAAACCGTCCCTTTATGCATGTAACCTCCGAGCTTTCGATCAAGAATATTCATCTTTAACTCAAAAGGAAAAAGCGTTACAAAATACAAAATGCTTTGGGTGGTTTGGGAAATTAGAATTTATGATCACTTTCATAATTCAAATTGGAGTTACGACCCCCTCTTAAAAAAACTTTGACCTCACCCGTGACCCCTTTCAAAATTTTTAAAAGTGAAATTACCGTATTACCCTCAAGTTTCAAATTTCACCTCCTTCCCTCCCTATTCTTGAACCCTTCGTCACCCTCCATTCCCTCCCTATTCTCGACGTTCACATCCCTATTCTCGGACGTTCGCATTCACCCATCCACAGTCAACATTCTATTCCATCTCTTCCAATGTTTGGCATCCACCATCGCCAACATCATCGTCGTCTTGGATCTCGGCGGAAGCGAGGTTAGTGGGCCATTATCGTCGTCTTGAATTTCGTCTTGGATTATCGTCGTCTTGAATTTCGTCTTGGATTTCGTTACTTGTTGTTAGGATTTTATTTTCGACCCTATCTGAAGCAGCTAATTAGCTTTACGTTAGATTTCAAGGTTCCAAATATCGAAAATCGAACTAATCGTTATCCGGATTCAATCCCGATGCATCTCATTCTGGGATCAAAGAAATATTGTATCCGAGATAGCGGCTTGGTTCCAGGATCACTATGTTCTTCTGCCTTTCATCTCAAACCTTGTCCCAGTCTATGTCAGACTAGGATGAAAGGCAAAAGAATAAATTTCCTCCTGCCTTTCATCCCAGCCCCTATCCCGGTCCGGCTTGGACCGAGATGAAGGGCAGAAGTAGCATACCCTTCTGCAAATCATCCTGGTTCGTCTCGAATTGAGATGCTTGGTAGAAGGTCATTAGGACACCCACGAAGCCTTTTTTTATTTCATTTTCTTTGCTTAATTTGTAGTTTTGATTTAATTTTCTTATTTTAACTTTGTCTAGGAGATATGTATTTGAGTCTTAACCTAAACCGTAATGACTGGTTTCCGGCCTCATTAACAAACCTTGCCCATATAGATAAAAACCACTTCTAGGCTTAAAGCGAGGTTAACCCCAACCCAATTAGACATATTTAAGCAAACATGTTTGGTCCTATTTTGGACATGGACGTTGTATTTAACAGTTCATTGATCCATCACCTGTTGTTGAGAGAGGTTGAGGAACCTAGGCAGGATGTCATTAGCTTGACCAATTTGGGAAAAGGGTGCCTTTCGGTAAGAGAGAGTTTGACCTAATCACCAGGCTCAGACATAGGATAAATAGAGTAGATAACAATATTCTCGGCCGAAGACTTAGAGCACGGTATTTTAAGGACAGTGTGAGGGTTAAGTGTAAGGAGTTGGAGGAGATTTTGTGGAGCAGGGTTTTGACAACGACGAAGATGTTGTCAAGGTTGCCATAGTTTACTGCATATAGCTTGCCATGATGGGTAAGGAGAGGAAGCAGTTCGTGGATACAAACATGTTAGGTATTGTGGATCAGTGGGAGATGTTCTGCAATTATGACTGAAGTACGATGATTTTTTATAGGACACTTTGGAGCCTGAAGAACGCTCTAAAGGATAAACTACCGGAGTACCAACAGAAGGCGATGGACGACCCCGCACACGTTGAGACTTATAGTCTCTATGGATTTCTGTACTCGTTTCAGGTTAATGAGGTTTAAGTCGACTACATAATTAAATTAATTATTTAACTACATCTTTAATTTGACTTCATGGGATTCTAGGTATGGGTGTACGAGACTATCTCGACGTTGAGTATGCGATTAGCAACAAAGTTGAACGGCTATGTTATTCCTCGACTTCTCAAATGGTCGTGCACTTATTCTTGCGGGTTTCAGGTGTTGGCGCGTGATGTATTCGATAACACACAGGTAAGTAATTTTCAAATGATCATAAGTTTGATATTTGTTTTTCATTTGGATCTAATGATAGGTTTTATGCAGTCTAAGGTTACGGAATACTTGGAATCAACGAATATTGAGCGACAGCACATGGACCATACCATGCTTCCACCAGAAGCCCGCATCATATCCCTTCCAAGACATGACATTGACTTAAGACCTGATCCACATGTTATTTAAGCGCCTCCTCCTGTGAAAAGGGGAAATCCTAAAAGAAAAACAAAGGACAAAGGGAAGAAGATTGTAGAGGATCCGGTAGAAGAGGAAGTTGAGGAAGAGGCCCCTCTAGTGGACGACGTCATGGCTGATGAAGAAGGAAATGATGGGCAAGCGCCAGACAAGAGGACGAAAAAGAAGAAATTCAAGAAGAGGATCAGTAGACGGTTGATGAGGCTTGGTGATCGTGTTGGTGATATTGAGCCACCTTGGGTGGTATTAAAGTCACCCTGAAAGGTATTAAGAGGTACCTTAAGAAAATGTCAAAGGTACGCACTTTTTATTATATAAACTTAATTCAGTTTAGTTTTTACTGTTTTATTACAATAACTCTTATGGGTCGGATTTTTTGTTCAAAGTAAGTTCCCCAATTCGAGTAAATATTTTGGAGGTGAGGGTGGGCTCGATGGAGACGGCCCCTCGAATCAAGGGCCTGATAAGGACCCAAAGACAGATGGGAGTCCGAAGAATATGGACGAGGACCAAAAGCCTGATGAGGTTCCGAAGACTCCCGAGGAATTGAAGAATAAGGACGATGATCCGAAGACAGATCAGGGTAGAAAAACATGGACAAGGATCCGAAGACGGATGAGGACAATGCAGCAGTGGAGGCTTCCCTTGATCGTCAAGTCGGTGTAATTGAGGTAACTCCTACTTATTTCATGCTAACTAACCTGTATACTCACAAGTATCAGGTTGAATCTTGTCTTAGTTCATGTTCTTTAATCTCAGGACCTTACGATCGGTAGGTAGTATGATGGTTTCGCAGTGGATCAGTTAGGTGATCATGAATCTCGAGTGGGTGTAATTGAGGTAACCATCTTCTAGTGTGCTAGTATACTTTTATGCTATTATATTGTAATCTTATGCACTTTTTTGTATATCAGGATCTCACTATCAGTAGGCAACCCGATGTCCATCAAATAGGTGACCTACTGGGCGACTCGATAGGCGTCCCGATATGCAACACGCAGTATCACCGCAAGTGATCGTTAAGGTAAACTAAATGTCATACATTTTGTCATTTGTACTTACCTGATCTCATGTTAAATTGTGTTGTCCTGAACTCATCAAATGTGGTATAGGTTGAACTTGACCTTCACCAGGCCCCAACTGGCTGGGGGAAACTTTAGGATATGTACATACCAATTAGAAAGCGTGGGATCACCGTGGTGAACTACGACCCAACATGTCTCATTCCTCCACAATTGGATGAACAGTTCTAAAGATGGATGGATGACCCAAAAACTGACGGGAGAATGAGGTCTACTGCAGTTGGAATGCAAGGGAAAGAATGGTGTCACAATCTACTGGACTAGATTATCGAATTGAAGGATGAAGTAAGTACTTCTTACTCACTAAGTACGATATTGTGAATATGTTGATTACCTCGTTGTGAATATATTATATGACAAGTAGTTGATGCACTGGTACTGTTTACGACGAAAAAGTTGGACAAGTGTGTCCATCTATGTCACAATAAGTTTGCGATTGGCGACATACTTCTTTCTATAAGTACTTTTTACCCCTTTAGGTTCAATCTAATGAAATGCATATTCCAATTACTTATGTAAGTCTTATGTCATCGTATTTCTACACAGACATTACTCAACCGAACAGATGGTCCATAGGCTGCCATGAAGTCGGGAGTCCTGGCCTCAAGAATAAAATGTGAATGGAGTAAGAAGAAAACCATCTTCCGATACGTGTTTGGTAGACAGTCGGACCACAACATGCCCTTGAATGACGCAGACATGGTGTATACCCCGATTAACATAGACGAGAACCATTGAGTGATGATCGACATCAATCTTATGGAGGGCGACCTAACTGTCTGGGATTCACTACAATCGACTACCCCACTGGAGGCACTCGAGAAGGAGCTGAAGCTCATGTGTACGATCCTACCTGCGGTGCTTCACTAAGGCAGGATGTTTGCAGTACGATCGGACTTACAAGTTGTGTCATGGAGGGTGTGTCGGGTTCGCGCATCCCAACAAAGTTGCGCGACAGAGTGTGGGATATTTTGTGTGAGATTCTTTGAGTATGATGTCACCGAGTCAAAGATGGACATTTTGACTCAAGCTAATGTTTATTTTTTAGGCGTCAATACACTATACAAATGTGGGAGCGTCATCCAATTTTTTGCCTCGCCGTCCTCCTCTGCCTCTGGCTCACATTCTGTCATCGCTCGCTACGCGATTCTGGTGAAATCTATGCATTACGAGGTTGGTGTACTTCAAAAAAGTGGACATTTTTATTTATTGCTAAATTTAGACAATTGTTTCTTCTGCTAGCTTTGAAAGGAACCAAAGAAATTTTATCAATTGAAAATTGAGAGTGCAATTTTATCGCTTGTAAATTTTAGGGTTTAATTTGTATGGGATCTAATTTTAAGAATTTTCTCTATGTTTTTCTTTAACCTAACAGAACTCAGCTTCCTTATTGATTATGTTTTCAGAAAACCAAATTAGAATAAAAATGATTTAAGTAGGAGAGTATGAGATTGGCATGTTCTTTCATGAGCTTTCTTATGAGTTATTGTCCTTGTAATGAAGTTCAGTCAAATTCAGATTAATGTTGGGAAATTTGGCTGTGGTATATGATGGATTTAGAG